GCTGTACGATATCATGGACCTATAAAAACAATTCTCGTTCAGGGGGTAAAGTATACACAAAGAATTTCAGAGATATCCATTGAAAAATGTGGCTAAAATAATCAAAATTTTAATCAGGTTAGGGGGGGGGGGGGGGGGTTCCCTTGTACGGGAGCTATACGATGCCGTGGACCGGTATTGCTCATCTTCAACATTCACAGGGCGTCTTAGAATTTTACGCAGATCAAGAATATATGTACTTCGATGATTTACAAACGAAATGACGAACTTAATATACCCTACATATGGTATGGTAGAGGGTGTAAAAAGGAAAAGGTAAACAGGTCTAAATCCTTTTGATTCCATCCCAACAAAAAATAAATCATATACATCAAGTATAACCGAGGTAAAATAAATGTTAAAAGCTCGTATTTTTACCGAGCTATTTCAATAATTTGCAACCAGTGTTGGACAAATACAAGAGTATATACGAGTCTATGCTGAAAAGGACACTCTAGAATGGTACCTGTTCGAGAAAACACTACCCCATACCTCGTCATGAATTATTGTCTATTATAGTCTAAATAAGAATGTATGCTTCAAAAGATTCCATCCACTATGAGTCATTATTTTAAAAAAAATATTGCCAATTGTTTATACCACAAAATTTAAATTCATGTTTTTTTCTGAAAAATTTTCAAATTCTTGCCATTTCTTTAAGTTATTTATTGATAATAATTATGCACGAAGTCAAAATGGTTTAATTAAACTGTAGTCGTTTTTTTTTTCTATTCACTAATTAATTAAGTGGAATTTGAAAGAAATATTTGAATAATATGTTGCCAGAGCTCTTCATTGTTGAACCCATTTCCATCATAGCTGTCTTACCACATTTTTGTGGTTTTAGTTTGAAATTTGACTTCGTCAAAAAGTAAATGTTGGTTAGAGAGCTAACATTTACTTTAGCAAAGGAATTTTTTAATGTTGGCTACGATACGGTTTTTGTTCGTTTTGAACTTTTTGACATTATTCATTTGATTATGATGGAAGCCAAATTTATCAGTAGTCTGTTTTTATACCCTGAAGCTTCTGACCTTCTTATTTTGGTCGAGTACGAGCATGGACAATATTGGTCTTTTCCTTCTGGTGTCCCTCCCACAAAATGGTTTAAAGGCCAACTGGATTCACGATTCGGTTCAAAAGTTGCCTACATCAAGATTAGGTCTAGGGCAGCCAAGGAAAAGCTTCTCAATCCCATAAAGGCGAATGGAGTATTCATTTTGGCCCGAGTTACAAAGATTGCCAAAGTAAGCATCATCGAAATAATGTTTTTAAAACCTAGATCTCTTTGGACGAAATCTGGCTATTTGAAGTCTATCCATGAGGTGTCCGTCCGTCTGTCCGCACGATAACTCTCAAAGGAAGTATTCGATTTCGTTTAAACAGTTTCTCGTCTTCGTATAGCCCAACGAAAGTTTTTCTTAAAAATTTACAAGTTCCATCCAAATGGTGGAGGGTATAAAAAGTTCGGCCCGGCCAAAAGTTCCTCAGCCATATGGCTACAGAGGGTATGTATCATTCGATACGGTCAAAACGTGCCTCATCGAAATAACGGTTTTAGACTCTAGGTCTCTATGGACCAAATCCGTTTCAGTACATTTGGAGTCAATCCAGAGATGTCCGTGCGTCCGCCTGTCTGTCTGATTGGTGTGCACGTAAACTCTCGAAGGGAGTATTTGATTTTATCATAACTTGGTACATCGTAATATTATTATCAAACTTAGATCGATTCCGGAGATAGGCAATATCGGTCCACTTATTCTGGTACCTCATCCAAATAATGTCAACATTTTCAAAACAAAAAAAAAACTGCACAGAAAGAGAATGGATAATCTGATTTTGCTCCAACTTTGCAAATCCTAATATTTGTAAGTGCTAGGTTAGGTGCAAAAATGGACATTATCGGTCCACTCCATCCAGTACCTCCCCCACAAAGGGTCAACACTTTAAAAATTTTAAAACTATTATAAAATGTGATGTAAAAGACCGATTGTCTTCAAATTATACACCTCACAATATTTTCATTACCCCAAGGTCTGTTGTGTAGATGGAATATATCGGTCCACTACTTCTGGTACCTTCCCCATAAATGTCGATTATCTCTTAACCTTATAAAACACGAAATTATTCGTACTTGGCACATCTCAAAATTTCTATCAACACAAGTTCTATTATAAAGATGGCAGAGATCGGACCAGTTCTTTTGGTAAAGTTTCGAATCAAAAAAAAAAAAAAAAAAAAAAACGATCATAAAATCTGAAATAAGCATCCGGTTCTCTTCAAATTACACCCAACACAATATTTATATTAAGCCAAGGTCTGGTGTGAAGATGGGATATATCGGTCCATTCCTTCTTGTACCTCCCCCACATATGGTCAACATTTTGAGTATTCAAGAAGCTCATAGAACATGAAATTAACATCCGATTCTATTCTGACTTGGCACATTTCAGTATTTCCATCAACACGAGATCTATAAGGAGCGTAAAGATTGGACCATTTCTTCTGGTACCTCTTCCACACAGGGTTCAAGATTTTAAAAAACAAAACTCTCAAAGAAAGCGAAATCGTATCCAACTCCTTCAATTTTTTACAAATCCACATTTTTTGATAACGCAAGATCTGTTGTGAAGATTATATATATTTGCCAACCCCTTTTTTGGTACCTCACCCACATAGGGTCACATTTTCCAATGCTTATATCTGTCATAACTTGCGAAACAAGGCGATTCTTTACAATTTTGTATATCTAAATATTTCTCTTAACCAGAAATCTGATATGAATATGCGATTTATTGAAATTTATGAGTTCGCATTCAATTGGATATAAATGTTCGATTTCCTCCAAATTTTGCACACATCAATATTTATACCCTACAACACTATGTGTTGGGGGTATTATAAGTTTGATTGGGCCAAAAATTATGTAACACCTCGAAATATTGATTTCCCACATAGGAAAGTATATATGGATCTTCCTAGCTCGCCGAGTTGAGTCGATCTAGCTATGTATGTCCGTCCGTCCGTCTGTCCATGTTAATTTGTAATCACTCTACAGGTCGCAATTATGGCCCGATCTTCACGAAATTTTGAATGTAGGTGGGGCTAGGGTCAGAATAGAACCCTATTTCTTTTGGAGATGATCGCATAATATTTAGTGGACGAAATGGACCAAAAACTGAAAAAATGTCGGATTTTGCAATAGCTATACAGGTTGCAATTATAGACCAATCGACGCGGAACTTCGCATGTAGCTAGAGTTTAGGGCGGGGAAGAAGCCTACCAATTTGTGTGGTCATCGGATAATATTTAGCGGGTAAAATAGACCATATCTATTGTGTTGAAAAAATTCAAAATTTTTCATTAAACCGCGAATATTTTAAATCGCGGCGAAATCACAAAGCTAAGACAAGGTTACTCCTGATCTTTACATTGATGTTAACATCCAACAAAACGGATATATAACAAAATATGTGCGATATATATGTCTATCAAAGAAGATATGCTTGAAAAATCTCTTATATGTCGAGAACGGCTGAACTGATTTCGACAGTTCTCATTAATTCAGAATGGCCTCTTGGCAGGAAAGAAACAACGTCTAAAAAAATCGCATAAAAATATCTCTCTAAAGTTGAAAATATTGATTTTCTAACATTTTCTCATATTTTTTCAATTTTGCCATATTTTTGGCATATTTTCATTTTGAATTAAACATTTGGTAATATTTCTACAGCTAACAAAACTAAGTAGTTAGGATATCAGGATATCATATACAGATCGCATTCATGGCCCGATCCTTACGAAATTCTGCATGGGGATAAGATGAGGGTCAGAATAGAAGCCTACTCTTTTTGGAGATGATCGCCATATATTTAGGGGTTGAAATGGACCAAAAAACTGCAAAATTGTCAGCAGGTCGTAATTATCGCCCGATCCTCACGCACATTTGAATGGGGGTTACCGGACAGGAAAGACGCATTTCTGACTATTTCGTTAACGCTGATTTCGTGGAAGAATATAGTCAAATGGCTGTATCTCATATAGATGCGTTTCAGTCAAAAACCAATAATAAATGTTAATATTTTGCCACTTCTGAGAGATTATATGTCTTTGGGAAATATTGATTCCAGATCAAGGAAGACAATTTAATTACCAATAAATTGGAAATGAGCAAATTAGTTTAAGTTGCTATTATTCGAAAATTAGAGAACGAAACCTGATGGTTTTCTTTTATTATTTGTCACAATATCTTGTGGAATTCTTTCGAGTATCTCGCCCATATAAGCTGTATCTTTTATTATAGTGTTGTAGGGTATTCAACGGTCGGCCCCGCTCGACTGTAGCCTTTGCTTACTTGTTTTATCTGTATTAGATGAAGTATGAATATGGAATATTCAATATTGTCCAAATGATTCGGAACCTCCCCCATAAAGGGTCAACAGTTTGAATAATCACAACTCAAGGCTGGGGGTATACATCTGTCGGCAAAACCGACTGATACTATTTTACTTCTTATTGTTGTGGCTATTCAATATTTTGATATTTTGTGGGGGAGGTACTAAAAGTAGTGGGCCAATATGTACAATCTTCACGACAGATCTCGTGTTGATAGAAATGTTGAAATGCGCCGAGTTTGAAAGGAATCAGATACGCATTGGACGTTTTACGAATTTCATGGCTATTCAAAATTTTGACCCGTTTTGAGGGAGGTACCAGAAGATGTAGACTCATTTATCCCACTCGCGACCGTTTCTAAATAAAAGAAAAGATAAATATCGCCCACCAACAGCTGTAAATTTGCTAATTTTCAAATTTTAAGCCCTAACCGGTGCTTTTGGGCGTCAAAGAGGCATTCAGCCACTCTTATTTTTAGAAACCCCATGAATTCCCATAGCCAGTTCCATTGGCTACATGAAAAAATAGTCAATTTAAAATTACCAACATTTTGCGTTCTCACTTACCTCTCATTAAGATTTTTCTCATGCTTTTGCGCAACGTTGAACAATTCCAGCGACGATTTCGAAATTGAAATTCACATTCTCGGAAGCCTAGATTAATGCCGTTGATGATCTCCTTCAGGAGGGCAGAATCGCGTCGGCAAATTTCAGCCATTTTACCACGTAGACGACGTGTCTTTTTGCACATTAAATCTGGATCAAGTAAAATATTCGAGCCCTCAGCCCTGTCAGGGTTTTTTTTTATTGTTGTCATAGCACGAAAATTTATTTACGGCGAAGAGGTTGATTTGTCATCGCAGCAAGAAGCCAACAGCAACGGCAAACATCAGTGTTGTGGGTGGATGAGAAAATAATCCAGCAAAAGGAAATTAGTTGGATTTAAATAGTTGAGGTTCATGAAAAGAAAAAATAGAAGGATTGAAAAGAAAAATAAGATATTTTTTTTTATTAAATAGATACATACGTATGAATAAATTGTTAACAAAATTATATTGGGGAAGGCCTTTTAGGGGTCTTCCGTAAAGAGAATATCTTATTGAAGGCTTTTACAGGGAAAACACCTTCAAGAGGTTTTCCATAGAGAGAATATCTTCTAGAGGTCTTCCGTAGAAAGGATGCCTTCTACAGGTCTTCCATAAATAAAGTACCTTCTAGAGGTTTTCCGAAGGGGAGAAGACTCCCTAGAATTCTTCCATAGAGAAAATTCCTTCCTGAGGACTTCAGTAGGATTCAGTTGCATTTGTTCTTATTACCTTGAAATCTAAATTAAAACTCATGGCGATAGGATAATTATAAACAAGGATTCCAAGAGTTTATGACCTTCATCCCTAAATTAACATTTTTCATCAAATTAAAAGTAGGAAAAATATAGTATTCTGACTTTAACGATTTTCGTGGAAATATCTCGTGTAAAAGTCTCAAAAACTTCCATGTATACAGGGTGATATGAAAAAACTGCATCAAAGACAGACGCCATAATTTTAACATATTTTTTTTTTAATTTTATTAAATGAAAGCAAAAAATGTCGGAAATAACATCAAATTTTAGAAAAAGTTTAGATTAGTTCGAATTGGGTCACCTTTGGCACGAGTTATGGCCTTCAAACGGCTAATGAAACCGTCACACGCTGTCAAAATGTTGCACTGCGGTATTTTGGCTCATTCTCGGCGAAGTCCTTTCTTGAGGTGATCGACACTTTGATATTTTTAGTGCCAACCTTCCTTCCAACCTTTGGTGGCCATTGTGCGCTGGAAATGAAGCGAGGAACCGCATTTTGTAACCATTCTTTGGTGGCGCGTGCTGAGTGCGATGGTGCTGAGTCCGGTTGGAATGTCCAAGGTCTGCGGCCAAAATGTTTGCGTGCCCAAGGCTTTAATATACCCTCCAGAATATTTTCGCGGTAACATTCGGCATTTATTCTAATGCCATCGGCTGTTATGGCGACCCACACCATCACCATGTCCGGCGCTTGAGTTCTGGTGGCCAACCGAAGGTGCACATTTTCAGCTGACCTCTTTGGCAAGTACACACAATCATTTTATTCGTTTACAAACTGCTGGACCACGAACGTTTTCTCATCGGAGAAACCCAAATTCGGCAGTTCACCACTTTCGACCAAGCGAAAAAACTCTTTAGCTCTTTTCTATTTTGTTTCTGTTGCGGTGTAAGTTCTTGCACTTTTTTTGAATTTCATTGGCTTTACCCCGAGCTTATTTTTCAATATTTGCCGAATGGAATATTGCGATATGTTCAGCTCACGAGCCATTTTTCGGCCACTGCGACGCGGGTTTCAATCAAGTCGCTTGTTTACTTTTCGAAGCAATTCTGCTGATATTGCTGTTTTCTTCCTTCCACTTCCTTGACGTCGGGCTACGCTAGCAGTATCACGGTAACGAGCGATGCTACGAAACACAAAAGATTTATTCACATTTAAATGCTGGAATACTCTAACGATAGCCACTTGTGGTTTTCCAGCCAAATATAAAGAAATCACACTATCACGCTTGAATTCCATCACGAATGACTTTTTTCTGAAAAATTCTCACCTCTCAATGTTTTTGTACGCTTGTAAACAATATAATGAGCTGTCACTGGAATAATTTTAACAGCTGTTGGACGTGTGGCTTAGCGATGACAGAAGTCTGAAGTTAGTGCAGATTTTTCATCTCACCCTGTATTTCCTGATTTTTCCACCGTAATATCAATTTCCTTTCATTGGCATTCACTCGAAAATAAAACTGCTCTAATTTTTAATTAGATTTTGAATATTTGTTGCCTAGCACTTCATCTAGCTAGTTCTGGACTCCAGCTGTTTTATTTTGAATTATGAACAGCAACGTCTTCTCAAACAAGCAACTCGAAAATATAACGCTTAAAAATACCGACATCATTAACAATTGATAACAGCAACAACAAATTAATTGGTTAACGAGGTGGCTGGCAATAATAAAATCTTAATAAAAAAATATTCCATTTCCTGTTTTCATTATAGGCAGGTTCCTCTCCTCCTTCTCTCAATACGTCTCAAAATCGCCGAACAGCCATCAATGAAAAAAATAATTCACACGCCTAAGAAGAAATGCTACTTTGTATTTTTAAGGTGTCATCGAATTTCAAATTAATTTTCAAAAAATGTTTATGACTGCTGCTCGATAAGAATCAATGAAATTTAATCAATAAATTTTTTATGACTTGAAATTTTAATTAATTACCAATTAATTAATGGGATTTTAATTGGCAAAACAAGAGCCAAACGGAAAAGAAACAGGTGATCTAAATTAAGAGAAATGTTAATATTTGTTTTCTGGACTTATTTAGATTGAACCGGAATTATTTGTAGCGAATTTAGAAATTATGATAATAGGCATGTGCAGGTATAAAATAGGGGGTAAATATCAGACATTTTGGAACTTGCTTTAAAATTTTTACAACTTTAAAATGGCATATGAAAAGTATCCTGACGATGATTTTTAATTTTGTAATTTTTCATTCTGTATATCCAAATCCAAATCCCAAATTTATATTTAGAAAGAGCAGGCTTTGAATACCTGTTAAAGAACGAATGCCTTTGATTTTTTTACTAACGAGGATTTTCTAAAAGACAGAAGAGCTTCAACGGTCTTCTGAAAACAAAATGTATTCTCAAGGCAGAAGTTTTTGTAAATTGTAAGCTGTTTGTATTGTCCTGACCTCTTCTTCCATAAAAATATGTATTTAAGAAAAGTTAGTATATAGCGAGAAGATCTTCTGAAGTTCTTATACAAAAAGAGATCTTCAAAAATTATTATATAGTGAGAAGAGGTTTTCTCTTGAAACAGGACATTCTAGATATCTTCTATAGAGAGGTGCACTTCTTCAATAAATGGTTTCTGTGTAGAGAATGACGTTTACAGGTTTTCTATAGAGGGAAGACCACCGGCAGGTCTTCGATAGGTCTTCTTAAGTGATAAGACCTTCTAAACTTCTATTATGGAGATACAGCGAATACATTATACAGGTCTTTAATTGATATAAGACCCTTTAGAGGTTTTCTAGTAAGCGAATACCTCCTGTAGGTCCTCTATTGAACGAAGAAATGAAGACTATCCATAGGTATTCGAGAAGACTATCCATAGGTATTCTGTATTAACAAGTCCTTCCATAAGATTTCTTTAAACCGAAGGCCATTTAGGGGTATTTAATGGTGCGAAGACGTTTTAGAGGTCTTCTATTGTGCGAAGATCTTTTAGACGTCTTCTATAGAGAAAATACCTTCTACAGGCTTTCTATATAGGAAGGCTTTCTAAAGGTCTTCAATAGGGAGAAAACCTTATATAGGGCTTCTATTGAGATCTTCCTTAACGGGAAAGCCTTTAAGAGATCTTTAAAAAAGAGAAAATCTTCTATATATAGAAGTGTTCTATAGAGATAAGGCCTTCTAGAGGTCTTCCGTTAAGAGTATCTTATTCAAAACTTCTACAGAGAAAATACTTTCTGCAGGATTTCCATAGAGAGAAGAAGACCTAATACGGGTCTTCCCGATCTCCCATTTATTTCGTAAGGAGAAGATCTTCTATAGAAGGTTTCTATAGAGAGAAGGTCTTCTAGAGGATTTTCCTGAAGAGAGGACCCTTTTTCCGCAACGAAAACACATTCTATTGGTCTCCCGCAGACAGAAGATTCTCTAGAGTTTTTCCGGAGAGAGAAAACCTAGGGATTTTCCGTAGAAAAGACATTTTAGAGGTCTTCCGTAGAGAGAAGATCTTCTACAGGTCTTCCATAGAAAGAACCCCTCATACAGGTCTTCCATAATGAAAAGTCCTTCTAGAGTTCTTCCGAAGAGAGAAGACCTCCAAGAGATCTTCCGTAGAGAGAAAATCTTATAAAAGACTTCTACAGAGAAAATACCTTCTGCAGGATTTCCATAGAGATAAGACCTACTACAGGTCTTTCACAGAAGGAAGATCTCCCATTTGTTTCGTAAGGAGAAGATCTTCTATAGAGGGAAGACCTTCAAGAGGGTTTCTATAGAGAGATGGTCTTCTGGAGGATTTTCCTGAAGAGAAGACTTTTTTCCGCAACGAAAACACCTTATATTGGTCTCCCGCAGACAGAAGATTCTCTAGATTTTTTTTCGGAGAGAGAAAACTTAGTGATTTTTCGTAGAAAAGACATTTTAGAGATCTTCCGTAGAGAGAAGATCTTCTACAGGTCTTCCATAGAAAGAACCCCTCATACAGTTCTTCCATAATGAAAAGTCCTTCTAAAGTTCTTCCGAAGAGAGAAGACCTTCAAGAAATCTTCCGTAGAGAGAACATCTTATTAAAGACTTCCACAGAGAAAATACCTTCTGAAGAATTTCCATAGAGAGAAGACTTTCTACAGGTCTTCCACAGAAAAATAATCTCCTACAGGTCTTCTGTATTGAAAATAGAGGTCTTCCGAAGAGAAAATGCCTTCTGGATGACTTCTGAACAGAGATGGCCTTCTAGGACTTTTATATAGGGGATAGGGATATAGGACTTTTATATAGGGATGACCTAGTGGACTTCTATATATGGAGAATTCAGTTTACTTATCTTCTATAGAGAAAATCCCTTCGGCAGAAGTAAAAACTTCTTAAGGTCTTCTAAATTAAAGGTTTAAAGAATGTTTTTTAAATGGTTTCCAAACTAAGGTTTTTTAGAGGCCTGTTGTAAACAGGAGTTCTTTCACAGATATACAATTGTATGATTATAATTTTAT